ACGTGGCTGCTCGATCGGCTGAACAATACTAGCGATCGTACAGCTATCCTTAATATAAATGTGATTAAAATGTCAGGCAATCATTGGCAACAGCAATGTCATCAGAAACGATGTCAACTGGTGTTGAAAGGATAAACCATTCGTATTATCTGACTGTGTGTTGATTAAAAGTACGCGAGGTCGATGGTGTATTATTCATTTCATTATTCAGAATAGATGTGTGTAAGAATAAATATTCCTTAACCCATTAACAACGATACTGAACGGGTTTCGCGGGTAAACAGAGCGACAAAACCATTTTAATAATCACGAGAGTCATTTGTCTTTGTCTGCCAGAAACAGAAACATCACTATACAAAAGAGAGGATTCCTGGTGTTCTCGATAAGGTGAGCCTCGAGTGTCACTGTTCCATCAGTGGCAACCTTCATAAACACACGCAAGGGCAAGTCAATTGTTCACCTGACAAAAGAGGGGAATATGGGCCACAAGACGTGTGTAGGCATCACTATCAATTAGTGATGGAAGAAGGTGTTACCTGACAAAAGAGGGGAATATGGGCCACAAGACATGTGTAGGCATCACTATCAATTAGTGATGGTAGAAGGTGTTACCTGACAAAAGAGGGGAATATGGGCCACAAGACGTGTTAAGGCATCACTATCAATTAGTGATGGTAGAAGGTGTTACCTGACAAAAGAGGGGAATATGGGCCACCAGACGTGTTAAGGCATCACTATCAATTAGTGATGGTAGAAGGTGTTACCTGACAAAAGAGGGGAATATGGGCCACCAGACGTGTTTAAGGCATCACTATCAATTAGTGATGGTAGAAGGTGTTACCTGACAAAAGAGGGAATATGGGCCACAAGACGTGTTAAGGCATCACTATCAATTAGTGATGGTAGAAGGTGATACCCGGACAAAAGAGAGGGGAATATTACACAAGACGTGTTAGGCATCACTATCAATTAGTGATGGTAGAAGGTGTTACCTGACAAAAGAGGGGAATATGGGCCACAAGACGTGTTAAGGCATCACTATCAATTAGTGATGGTAGAAGGTGTATACCTGACTATCAAAGTGATGGTAGAAGGAATTACCTGGGCCACAAGACGTGTTAAGGCATCACTATCAATTAGTGATGGTAGAAGGTGTTACCTGACAAAAGAGGGAATATGGGCCACAAGTGACGTGTAAGGCATCACTATCAATTAGTGATGGTAGAAGGTGTTACCTGACAAAGGGGAATATGGGCCACAAGACGTGTTAAGGCATCACTATCAATTAGTGATGGTAGAAGGCATCACTGATCAATTAGTGATGGTAGAAGCATCACTATCAATTAGTGAAGGTGTTACCTGGGAATATGGGCCACAAAACGTGTTAAGGCATCACTATCAAAGATGGTAGAAGGTGGGAATATGGGCCACAAGACGTGTAGGCATCACTATCAATTAGTGATGGTAGAAGGTGTTACCTGACAAAAGAGGGGAATATGGACCACAAGACGTGTTAAGGCATCACTATCAATTAGTGATGGTAGAAGGTGTTACCTGACAAAAGAGGGGAATATGGGCCACAAGACGTGTTAAGGCATCACTATCAATTAGTGATGGTAGAAGGTGTTACCTGACAAGAGGGGAATATGGGCCACAAGACGTGTTAAGGCATCATTATCAATTAGTGATGGTAGAAGGTGTTCGGGAAGAGAACTTGTCCACTCTCAACGCTCCTACTTAGCTGAATCTTCCTGCTCAAACTCTCTATCTGATCTCTGATATTTACAGAACACTGGCGTCAATCGGTTAACTGAAGTGAAGACAAAATATTCTTTTTTCAATGTCACAGTGTCGCTAGGAGTTGATACACATGCACGTATATATTGATGATCACGCACAGCGCTGTTTGTCGTTGCACAAGGAGCCTGCAAATCAATGATCAGTATAAGAGTAAATCTATGGATGTCTCCCTGGCCTGATCAGCGTTACGTCGTATCAGTGTGACTACCGTCAGTGCGAACGGGACTTAACGTAAGAGCACGTTAAATAACGTCTTGGTTCTCATCAACGACCGTCGTAAGAGGCGACTAACTCGATCGGGTGGTCAGACTCGCTGACTTGGTTGACAGATGTCATCGGTTCCCAAGTGCGTATATCGATGCTCATGATGTTGATCACTGGATTGTGTGGTCATGACAGACCGCCGTCATATAGCTGGAATATTGCTGAGTGCGGCGTTAAACAACAACCAACCAACCAACATAGCAGGAAACCGATAATTTTTCTGGTTATCTGAGGTGAAGGCCAACGTGGTTTCCATGACAATACGATTACATTAACTACAATACACAATTACTTGTAATCATGTAGCACATGTGCTTCAAGATCGGCCATTATGACAATAGCCATATTTGAAGCTTGAATAATGTGGCATTCAGTTTCTATACACCAGTTTAACCCTATACGCTCTCTGAATACTGAGAACTCATTGTCCCGGTAAAAGTTGGAACTGTAAAGTTACAGCGCCTGTTCATTATCAAGCTACCATCAATAATACAAACCATACACAAAGATGACAAATCAGGTTATTTTTATGAAAGCAAACAATTTGTGGAAAAGACTTTAAAAATCGATTATCGTCTTCCAATTAGTGGTAATGTGGATACGCCTGTTTGTTTGAATTCGTTTCATCTTTTGTGACTGTTTGTGGTAGTCTACAGAATGGACTATCATGACACACTGTTAGAACATTGTAATGTTTAAGTGATTAGTAAAGTGCATTCTAATTTGTATTCTGATCTCCGTCAATCTTGATCTCAAGGAAATTAGATCCATATGAGAGCACAAAATCTTAATACCTCATAAAAGAGGTGTCTCAAAAAATTGCCCGCAAATGAATATATTAGATATGATAATGTACTTTAAACTGTTGGAGGCAAAAGTGGGATAATGATGTTTCTGGGGCAACTGTTTTCTTTGTTTGTTGTTTAACTCCGCACTCATCATCATCATCATCATCATCATCATCATCATCATCATCATCATCATCATCATCATCGAACTACACAGTTGGGATACGGTAACTTGCATCAACAATGTCTGATCCCGTTAGTCTTCTCTTTCGAGAAATATTAGTTGTTGAAGGCCAATTCTAACCCGGATCGTCACGGGTATGGGCGAAATGTACCTTCTATGATTCCATGTGTAAACTGGACTTAATCATTGGGTGTAATGATATAAAAGAAGGTATGGCATAACTCTCACCATCTCGTTTTCATAATGGGCATAATGCTGACAACATTTCCATTAGTAAAGTAAATAAATGATGAGACACATTTACAGTTGTTACGGGGATAAGTCTAATACTCGTTACCATTGAAAATAATTGCAATGCAATGTTAGAGACATTACAACATTCCGTTGCTGCCAAACGAACATTTTCCTTAAACCTTTGTTCTTTGCTTCAAAGCAGTGCTCCATTTGAGTTGAAAGGCATTGGAGGATTATGATTGTTGGGTGTGGCTAAACATACATATTGTTTACTTGGGTAGCCCAGTGGTTAAAGCGTTGGCTTGTGGGGTTCATTATATTGGTGGAATATTGCTAAAAGCAGCGTAAGACCACACTCACTCACTCATTTAAGAGTATATTCTTTACTAACCAGCAGCAGAATGCCAACACATTAATACAACAGTAATTCAAGTTTTACAAATCGTTTTCAGTTTCAGTAAGATCAGTAAGTGTGCTATCGTCATTGAATTTCATATGTATCACTAGATTGTTTTGTCTTTGTTTCAATAATCAGATGCACAGTCGTGTAGCGTCAAACACAAGTGTTTAATGCAAAGTGTGAATGGTTGGTGTTAGCGATGTGGCGGGGCATGTCGACGTAGTTCAGCAAAACACATGACGTCATGACTAATTTTCAGTCATCCATTCTTATCATTTAAAAGGCAATTTTGACATTTTTGCTGTGGAATTTCCGCATGAAAATTGAAATCCACTATTTTCGGGTGTTAACGTGCAATATTTAGATTTAGACACATTTGGCCCAAATTCAATGTATGAGTAAAACTAAAGAGACTTCAGTTTTGTGTCCAAATATGGAAAAGAATTGTTTTGTTTGCTTCTATTTATTTTAACGGTTTTTAATCATCCGTACGAGGATCTTCTACGAAAAACCAAAACACTTAACTCTGCCCCATAAGTTCTTAACAAAATCGACCGCCTCCGTGGTGTAGTGGTTAGAGCGTCCGCCAGGAGAGCGGAAGGTCGCGGGTTCGATCCCCGACCGCGTCATACCAAAAGACGTTAAAATGATGTACTTGTTGGTCCCTGCCTGGCGCTCGGCATTAATGGGTACAACAAGGACTGGTCGGCTCGGAGTCCGCATAATGTGTCTGAGTGGGGTATTCATGCTTCACTGCGGCATGGTATCTCAGTGGGCTAGCACTATAAAACCAGCTTAAGTCTGGGCTAGTACAAGCAGCCGCACATACACATCCACACGCATGCACGTCGTCATATGAGCGAAATATTCTCAAGCACGACGTTAAACCCAATTTCACCTCACCTCAATACTCAGGTGCACAGTCGTGTAGCGTCAAACACATGACGCCATGACTAATTTTCAGTCACCCATTCTTATCATTTAAAACGCAATTTTGCCATGTTTGCTGTGGAATTTCCGCATGAAAATTGAAATCCACTATTTTCGGGTGTTAACGTGCAATATTAAGATTTAGACACATTTTGTTTTCCATCAGTATTTGGCCCAAATTCAATGTATGAGTGAAACTAAAGAGACTTCAGTTTTGTGTCCAAATATGGAAAAGAATTGTTTTGTTTGCTTCTATTGATTTTAACGGTTTTTAATCATCCGTACGAGGATCTTTTACTAAAAACCAAAACACTTAATTCTGCCCCATCCGTTCTTAACAAAATCAAGACCGACAATGTATTTATATGTTGTACAGTGAGAAAAACTTGTGTTTTTGCAGGTGCTATAGACGCTCACAATGAGTCTCAACCACTGAGTTACCGAGGTGTGCAAACTATCGGTTACAACGCTACCTGGGGAAGCGAACTGGAGGTCAAGGTCATGTGGTCAATTGCAAGGCTCAGCGAAAGGTTTTCACTATTCAAACAAGGTCAGTGTATATATGTTACAGGGAATGTGTGAAACCAGGGATTTCACGTAATCTCTGAAAGAGTCAGTGATTTCATGAAAGCCCCGTGACCCCCAGGGATTTCACGTATTCCCTAACATTTCAAGGGATTTCATGAAATTACTGATTTTCTTAGTGTTCCATTACACACATGCCCTGTTAGGATATCAGTGAATGTGTGAAATTAATCTTTGTAGCTTAAATGGACACTGATCCAGAGCCATTCCCCGGAAGTGGTTGTTGCTGTTGTTATTGTTTTTTCCCTGCAACTACCCAGATGATATCCGAGAATTCTTGATTGGGTGGAATCTCTGTTGCACAACGCAAGCGCAATTGATAGTATAAGTATAATATGTATATCCTTACATTGATCAACAAAGATGAAATCTGTTTTACTCATTAATATTTTCATCTTCATTATTATGGCAACAAATGAACACAATTCGACGTTTATATGCCAGTGATACAAAATGTAAGGGCTGAAAAAACCCGAAGTCAATGAATGTCTTTATAGTTTTGTCTTATAATCCTAATGTATTTATCATTATATGTTTATGCATTTTTGAAACTTCATAAACAGTAAACAATCTGTTCTAGTGAATATGAAAGGACTGTAATATCTAGACATTTTATACGTTGCCAACGTGGATCATATTTCACACACACGCACTAAGTGCGACCTAGTGTATGTTGTCTGTCTCATCGAAACAAAACAGCTAAAAAATGAAGTGGAGTAATGATTTTGCTTAATGCTACAAAAAATTAATAATAACAAAATACATATATTTGAAGGAAGGACGTTGTTTTTACACAGGCACCTTACGACAGAATACATTAATCATTCAGTGTGTTATCGGTTAATCCTTTGATCGATTTGTTTTAAACCCATCTGATGATTCCTCTTCCTGCACTTCCAAGCGCATATTACATAACATGTAATAGATTTACCACATCAGACCTTAATTTCTGATGTTGGGTACTTACTCCAGACACGAGAAATGACAAACATGGACAGAGGAAGGGGTGACCCTAGGAGCATTCCTTGTATATATAATAGTTATGAACCACGATCAAGCTAATGACAATTATAGAAAGGCGTGAAATCCGGTATCCTCAAAGGTTTGTTCACTCTCCACGAATGATGTGACAATGGACAAAGAAGTATCTCTCCGAACTGCTGTGAATTCCGAGTCGAATTGTGGTGGTCAGGGTTTCCAGAAGTGTAACTTACTAACTGTTGTCCTAACCAGTGTAAATCAAGACGTTGTAAATGTTTTAAAGTGGGACTGAAGTGTAATAGCCGATGTCATAACAGTCTTTCTTGTCCAAATAAATCAAGTTTATCAGCATATACTCTGTAATCGCATCATAAATTTGGTCGTCTCTATTTCAATAAAGGCTGCCAGGGGTTTCATGAAATCCCTGAGCCAATATTTCAGTAATTTAATGAAATCCCTTGAAATTTTAGGAATACATGAAATATCTGGGGTTACAGGGATTTCACGAAATCACTGACTCTGATTAGGGTTTACGGAAAATCCCTGTACAGGAGGATCCCTTTGTTTCACACATTTCCTGAATTGTTGATTGTTTTTTCTGTTCACGCAAGAAATCTGTGTAATCACAGAAATCCCATTTCTCATTTTCTGTTCCTAGTTATTTAGTTTTGTGGTTGAAATGGTCGCGTACAACATCAACCTCCTAGTGTTATTTCTTAATATGGCGTGATAATGGCTAGAAACAAGCACATTCAGACCTGTGTTTCATTACAGTCCACGACTTCATTAACACCTCCGTAGACTTCCTGGTGCTCAACGACGTCTTCTACGGCAGTCTGGAGGAGAAACACCACTTCATGCTTGAGGACACACAGGTCGTTCACTACCAAGGCCAACTGAGCCCCTTCGTCTCCCCCCAATCTACCGATGTGAATTTGGAACCAGATCCGTGGCGTATATGTGGTGCCTACTCGTTTCTCAAAGACGGTATATCGCCAGAGAGTAGTCAGTGCAATGAGAATAACGATGTCCATCACGATGACCAGCCCATAGTGCCGGACGTGGTGGGCGTGATGTTCGCAGTGCTGGACTACCTTCACTGGAAATCTCTCGTCATATTGTACGAAGATGAAACAGGTGAGTGAGTGGTTGGGTTTATCGCTTCTCTGAACAGTATCTCAGGTATGTCATAGCGGGTCTGCTTAATGTGCGAAGAAGGTCCGAAGCCACTTCTTTGATGAAATCAACAGGAATGAATAGGTTTTGCATTAGCGAAAAATACGATGACTGAAGCACCTATACCCAATTAAATTTTACTAGCATGCGTACTAATACCCATAAAAACTTAGTAAATTTTGACAATGCGTGATCACCGTAGTTCTACGATCGCTTAGTTAAACGACATCATGCTCATATCATTCAAGACCTCAGGAAAGCTTTAAAAATGTTTTATAGTAGACATGCTGACATTTCAAATTTGACATATCAACAACGAACAATGGTGTCCGATGCAATTCCCAATTTAGAATGGGATCAGGCTAAAACGGCCCCATGACAAAACGGCCCCAATTTTGCTTGGCTAAAACGGCCCCGGTGTAAAACGGCCCCGATGTTGCTATCAACTATGTTGCTTGAAATGACCCCGTACAATTGCAAAAAAACGGTGGACGGTGCAATCGATGGAACATGACACTCCATCCTCTTCGCGAACACCTGGTTCACGGTTTGCTACTGATTCATATAAACATGTTGATATAGTTGGTTGATAAGAGAGTGCTGGTGCTTTGCGCAGAAATTTTATGAACAAGGAAATGTTTTTGATGGCAATCTGGATCCTATGTTTACAAAACGTAATAACACAAAAAGGGTACAAAAGGGTAAGATAAATGTCGAGAAAACTAGAATACGCTTGCTGACATGAGTTTGTGATGTATCATTCATTAACGTTGCAGCTCATGATGCGATGGAGGTGTCGGGGATGCTGTCGTCGGACAACGTCACCTACCAGGAGTATAGCGTCCAGCATTATGAGTCTACCGTGGGCCTGCATGAAATGCTCAACGTCATCTACAACAAAACCATGACCAGCAGCAACAACGTTATCAACATCGTCCTGCTGTGTTCAGAGGTCTGCGTCAATAAAGTCATCAATAAGGTAGGTGAAGTCATGTGAGCAGCTGACTGAACAGGTGCAACTTTGATTATACAACTTTGAGTGCGCAGGGTTTGAGCAGCTTCTACTACTACCAGTATACTACTACTACTACTACTACTACTACTACTACTACTACTACTACTACTACTACTACTACTACTACTACTGCTGCTGCTGCTGCTGCTGCTGCTACTACTAGGTCAGAGATTTATGTGTAATATTGCAAGTTTGTTGAATGCTGAGATATACTGCAATATTGCAAATTTGTTGAATGCTGAAATATACTGCAATATTGCACGTTTGTTGGATGTTGAGATATACTGCAATATTGCACGTTTGTTGAATGTTGAGATATACTGCAATATTGCACGTTTGTTGAATGCTGAGATATACTACAATATTGCAAGTTTGTTGAATGCTGAAATATACTGCAATATTGCACGTTTGTTGAATGTTGAGACATACTGAAATGTTGCACGTTTGTTGAATGCTGAGATATACTGCAATATTGCAAGTTTGTTGAGATATAGCTGTAATATTGCAATTCACTGAGATGAAGCTGTAATACTGCAAGTTTGCTAGGATATAGCTGTAGTATTGCAAATTCACTAAGATAAAGCAGCGGTGTTGCAATTGCACTTAGATATAGTTGTAATATTGCAAGTATGCTGGGATTTTGTTGTAGTATTGCATGTTCGCTGAGATATAGCTGAAGTTTTGATATTCCCTCAGCCAGTAGTAGGTTGAGGAGGTGAGGGTGTTGATGTCTGCTTTATGACTTTGGGAATAGAACCCAAGACGTCTACGTCATGTGCCAACACTGAAACTAAGTGTCACAGTGTTTAATGCCCCCGTCAAGAGGCGCTGAATCATAACTGTCAACATCACAAGAACAGTCGTTAATTGACACCTGTGATTTCAAAATTCAAATTTTATAGACGGACTGTTTGCATTTAAGTTCATTGATAAATAATAATCCTACGAAAGTGATTTATTAATACAGGGCACCAATAACAAAGCTAAGTGATTAAAGATTTCAGTAATCAATTAACAGTTGGACAGTGTGAATGGCGTAGCTACCATTATTAAAAAAACGGGCCTACTCATGATTGTTGCTGAAAAAGTTGGACAAGCACTCAATACTATCTAAATATAAAGCTTCGCAACCTATCGGGCTTACACGAAAAAAATGGCTTGCTACGCGCCTGAATACGCCAAGCCAGTGAAATTACGAATGTCAACATGGCTGATAGAAACTTGTCTAATACACAGCTTGCCGATCTAAACACACAGAGGATATCATATTTCTTCTGAGGTCAATATTGGCAGGATATTGGCTGTCTATATGTACAGCTGGACAACAGTTCCGGCCGTTGATCTTCCGTCATAGCACTAGTGCACCGTTGTATAGAACGGGTTCATGAACCTGATTGGCTATAAAACGCGGACGTCGGAGAAGACAGTCTCCGCTGGGGTACATAATGAATGCGCGAACAGATTCCGTTCGGTGGATTATTGTCATAGAACTGCTATATTGAAGGTTTATCGTGGTATAACTGCTATTATGATAAATGATCGTAATAGACTTCTATATTGATGGTTTATCGTGGTATAACTGCTATTATGATAAATGATCGTAATAGACTTCTATATTGATGGTTTATCGTGGTATAAATGCTATTATGATAAAGGATCGTAATAGACTTCTATATTATATTGGATGCTATTATATCGATGGTATAACTATGCTGATTATGATAAATGATCGTAATAGACTTCTATATTGATGGTTTATCGTGGCATAAATGCTATTATGATAAATGATCGTAATAGACTTCTATATTGAAGGTTTATCGTGGTATAAATGCTATTATGATGAATTATCGTAATAGACTTATATTGAAGGTTTATCGTGGTATAACTGCCATAATGATGAATTATCGTAATAGACTTATATTGAAGGTTTATCGTGGTATGACTGCTGTTATAATGAATTATTGTAATAGATTGGTATAGTGAAGGTTTATCGTGGTATAACTGTTATTATGATGAATTATCGTAAAAGACTGATATATTGAAGGTTTATCGTGCTATAAATGCTATTATGATGCATTATCATAATAGACTTATATTGAAGGTTTATCGTGGTATAACTGCCATTATAATGAATTATCGTAATAGACTGCTATATTGAAGGTTTATCGCGGTATAACTGCTATTATGATACATTATCGTAATAGACTGCTATATTGAAGGTTTATCGTGGTATAACTGCTATTATGATGAATTATCGTAATAGACTGCTATATTGAAGGTTTTATCGTGGTATAACTGCTATTATGATGAATTATCGTAATAGACTGCTATATTGAAGGTTTTATCGTGGTATAACTGCTATTATGATGAATTATCGTAATAGACTGCTATATTGAAGGTTTTATCGTGGTATAACTGCTATTATGATGAATTATCGTAATAGACTTATATTGAAGGTTTATCGTGGTATAACTGCCATAATGATGAATTATCGTAATAGACTTATATTGAAGGTTTATCGTGGTATGACTGCTGTTATAATGAATTATTGTAATAGATTGCTATATTGAAGGTTTATCGTGGTATAACTGCTATTATGATGAATTATCGTAATAGACTGCTATATTGAAGGTTTTATCGCGGTATAACTGCTATTATGATACATTATCGTAATAGACTGCTATATTGAAGGTTTTATCGTGGTATAACTGCTATTATGATGAATTATCGTAATAGACTTCTATATTGAAGGTTTTATCGTGGTATAACTGCTATTATGATGAATTATCGTAATAGACTGCTATATTGAAGGTTTATCGTGATATAACTGCTATTATGATGAATTATCGTAATATATTGCTATATTGAAGGTTTATCGTGATGCAGCTGCTGTAGTGATGCTTTACCGTCATGCTTTAATATTAAACGTTTACTGTAATGTATCTGTTACCATGTTGTGTCTACTATATGGATCCTTGTATCCGTTGAGTTACTACTGAAAGTATGTTTAGGCGAACGCCTTTGACGAGGTCAACGGAAAGAAGACGGCCATGAAACTGGTGTCCAAGTGGCTAGTGGTCCTCCCCAGTCCCAACAACGCCTACGTCGACAAGTGCGGCATGGACATGGACAACATCGCCGTCATCACATACCCGCCCAGCACCACCGTCACAAACATGAAAGATGTAAGACAATAATATCGCGTCCTAATAGTTTACAACCTGCACATCAGACTCGACACAATGTCATGGGGCACATCATAGTAGTTTACAACCTGCACATCAGACTCGACACAATGTCATGGGGTACATCATAGTAGTTTACAACATGCACATCAGACTCGACACAATGTCATGGGACACATTATAGTAGTTTACAACATGCACATCAGACTCGACACAATGTAATGGGGCACATCACAGTAGTTTACAACATGCACATCAGACTCGACACAATGTCATGGGACACATTATAGTAGTTTACAACCTGCACATCAGACTCGACACAATGTCATGGGGCACATCATAGTAGTTTACAACATGCACATCAGACTCGAAACAATGTCATGGAGCACATCGTAGTAGTTTATAACCTGCACATCAGACTCGACACAATGTCATGGGGCACATCATAGTAGTTTACAACCTGCACATCGGACTCGACACAATGTCATGAGGCACATCATAGTAGTTTACAACATGCACATCAGACTCGACACAATGTCATGGGGCACATCATAGTAGTTTACAACCTGCACATCAGACTCGACACAATGTCATGGGGCACATCATAGTAGTTTACAACATGCACATCAGACTCGACACAATGTAATGTCGCACATCATAGTAGTTTACAACCTGCACATCAGACTCGACACAATGTCATGGGGCACATCATAGTAGGGCACATCATAGTAGTTTACAACATGCACATCAGACTCGACACAATGTCATGGGGCACATCATAGTAGTTTACAATCTGCACATCGGACTCGACACAATGTCATGGGGCACATTCTAGTAGGACATCGGAGAAGTGACCAATATGTTCATTAAACCCCCAATCTAAGCCCACATTTGTGTAACGTCACCCGCGGTGCTTTGAAAAAGATTTAACAAGTAAAGAAAAAATAGTAACAAAAGTTATGCTCGTATGTGAAACCCAGACTGCAATATTGTGCCCGTCAGGCTAACTTTTCTCTCTATGTATGCAGGGGCTGCCACAGACGTTGGAGAAGGTTCTCCGTTTAGTCGGCTCCAACAACGACACAAATAACATCACGGCGTTCGACGTCAGACAGAATGCAAGCGTCATGCTGATGGAGGTATGTAGACATGGCGTCATATTCCTGTTATATTTATTCATATAAACAGTCCAACAAATCGATATATAGACGTACATATTCATATATTCATAAGGTCAAGTGAAAACATACGAATGACCAGTTACATTCAGGATGTAACCGAACTAGACAACCAGTTATCCAACGTCCATTTTTGTGGATGTCTCGATGGCTGAGTGGGTTAGATGGCTGACTTTGCGTGCTGGCGATTAGGTGACTCTGAGAGTGCGAGTTCGAATTGCGGATGAGACTCAACCAAAAAGTTCTAGATTCTGTACTTTACTGAGAAAGTGTAATCCAAAATATAGAATAGATTATACTTTAACATGTTAAATTACATCCATAAGTTGACAGTCATTGTCAATATACACACTCCGTTATAGTCCATGATCCAGACCCCTAAATGTTATGCTTGACTACCAAGTTGAGGGGCAAATTTAAATGTTGATGTTCAAATAGCCTGATGTCTGTACTACATGAAATCATGTGATGGATATCTCACATGTCCAGCTAAAAGATGTTTCAAGATGGCCGCCATGTTTTCATTGCTTTCACAAACCTCAGAAATACACATAAAAAAGATAGTTTACAATTTCTAACCAATTTTTGCTTGTTGAAATATGGTAGGCACTAAATTCATAATGTTTTGATAGACATTTTGTATGGTTTTGTGCTTTAAACATTTCACTATTATCAAAATACTTTGAAAATAATCGTTTCTTAAGAATTTTTCATTTTGCATCAATAAAATTGATGTAATCCTATGTGTGATGAAATGACTGCATTTAAGTTAAATACAAAACAAATCACGCAGAAATAATTCTTGCTAAAGAAAAAATATAAAACAGGTATAAAAATATATAATAAATATTTTATTATAGCTAGTTACAAATGAGTGACATCGATTTCGTGATGTTTGACTAGGCCAAAGACCATCTTGATCACGGCATCTCCTGTTGTGTGTCGTGTGTACAGACAATTGATTGTCGTGTGCAGGTCATGCTGAATGTCAAACAATGTGCCCTATCTGTTTGTCATGGTTGGGCCTGTCGTATCTCAGTATGGCCAACACTAGTAGGTATTGCATCGAGCGGACATTTTATCGATTTTGCCCTCTCTGTGTACACACTGGATGTTTTGTGAGATACAAATATGTGATACAAAATGTCAGCCAAGCATTAATGCAACCGAACTTTGTATTACAACGATGGCATATATTAATAACTCAAATTATTCTGCGCAGTCAGTGAAATGTGTATAACTATAAATATGTGTGGCTTAATATATGATGATGTATGTTTTATATAATTTTGGATTGAGACGCATACTATCTAAGAGTACGCAGTACTGCGTCCGCCTATTAACCTATAAAATCATATATTATTACTATTATGAATAAGTACATGTATATCTTAATTAATAAAATATCCATGCTTGTATCAGGGATAGCAAATCGATTCCTAATTATTATTTTATAGGTATGGTTGACAAATGCTGACAAAACAGTCCAGCATAGCGTTTAGCAATTATACATACTAAATATGTTTCTTATAAGAAACAGGGTGCATTGGTGTCTCACGTCGGCATCATTCCTCTAGCAAACTGCAATATTGCACTATTTCACGCCAAACTACTCTAACAATACATTATGCATTTCTCTCAATAACATTAACAATAAGCCCTCAAGGAATCTCTCCGTGGTGTAGTGGTTAGAGCGTCCGCCCGGAGAGCGGAAGGTCGCGGGTTCGATCCCCGACCGCGTCATACCAAAAGACGTTACAATATAGTACTTGTTGGTCCCTGGCTGGCGCTCGGCTTTAATGGGTACAACAAGGACTGGTCGGCTCGGAGTCAGTATAATGTGTCTGAGTGGGGTATTCATGCTTCACTGCGGCATGGTATCTCAGTGAGCTAGCACAATAAAACCAGCTTAAGCCTGGGCTAGTACAAGCAGCCGCACATATACATACACACGCATGCACGTCGTCATATGAGCGAAATATTCTCAAGCACGACGTTAAACCCAATTTCACCTCACCTCCCCTCACCTCAAGGAATCTACCATATAATTTATTTTTAAAATATAAACGTATTTAGATTACAATATTAAATTAATAACTTCGAATGAATTAATGCAACGTTGCATTAAATCGGCTGTCGCGCCCTCTCGGCCGAACATTATTTCAAGCGAACCCCACAGAGTGATGTCACTTGGAGCGCTCTTTACGAATATCCTACGCACAGCTTGTGATTTGAACCAGTTCGATAAACACCGACAACACCGCATGTGACAGTTTTCGATGTTCGGAGTAATTGTTTACTTCCATACATGGCAAGTGTTCTCTGTTTTGAAGCTGTTCGCCTCGAAGTGTTAATTATCGATTTCAGACAAGTCGTAAGGGATAATAAGTCTTTTATTGCATCAATAGGGAGCTAAAGTGAGTGCATATGCCCCTATATATATACTATAGGCCAAAATATTCTCGAAATGTGTGAAACTGTGCCTTTAAGGTCAAAAACAAAACCTCCTGACATACTTTATCATCGAATAACCCGTTCCTTTTTTATTCATTTCAGTAAGCATGTAATGTTTGATGCATAATTCCTTTAGCCTGGCGGTTTATAATCAAACATACAAAATGCATAAAAAATATCTTAAAATACAAACTGTATCTGTATTCCGCTTTGTTTATCGTTGCCATTAAATCCTGGATGTGTACATCCCAGGGTAAGATAGTTTGCAAATAATAAAAAAGAGCATTAGTAAAGAGCTGTACGATCAGCTCCGTTGTTAATCAATAGATGTTGATTTCGTAAACACGATACATATTTACCTGCATGAGACTCGGAGATGAAGGTAAATATGTGATAAAGGTTTCTCATAAGGCGACGTGCTTTATACGTAAGTAATTAGCGGAAACTATAGATGTAACGGCGCCTTAAGAGGGAGGCTAACACAACGTGTTGACCCACTCCACTATCGCACTGCCCCGTTATTAAGAGGAAGCCTGGATAACAAGAGTACTGGGTGGATGTTGGACATGTGTTGACAATAGATTACCGTTACCTGTTTCTGTTGACTCTTGTATTTCTATTGGCACAAGTCGATTGATGTACATAGACCGCGATATTGACATCCTTTAGGCGACAAAAAGTCCATATTTGTACGTGGTAGTGATCGTGGTTTAATGTGAGTGAGTTTAGTTTTACGCCGCACTCAGCAGTATTCCAGCTATATGGCGGCGGAATGTAAATAATCGAATCTGGAACAGACAATCCAACGATCAACAGCATGAGCATCGATCTACGCAATTGGGATACGATGACATGTGTTAACCAGGTCAGCGAGCCTGATCACCAGATCCCGTTAGTCGGCTCTTACGACACGCACGGGTTGCTGAAGATCGATTCTAACCCGGACCTTGGTTTAATGAGTTGGTTGAATGAATAAGTTGAGTTTTACGGCACCTTTAGCAAGATGTCAGCAATATCACCAAACAATAGAAATGGGCTTCAAACATTGCACCAATGGGCCTTCAATCACAAGGCTACCCTACTACCACTGTGACTGTAGTGTGGTGTTGAAGTCAATTCCGTTGTACATGTTAGGATCAGGTGACACTGATGGCCCTGTCGTCTAATTAAAAGTACCGAAATTCTGAGTTCGAATTTCGGTTGACTTCGATCCGGTTTTAGGATTGTCAGCAGCATACCCGTCAACGTGGGTTTATATAACGTTGATAACGTCAGCATCCCAGGAGGTTTACTCCCACCTTAAACAGACACAAAGTGATATAACATGGCTACCGCGGAAAACGGCGTTAAACCGACTCACTCACTCATCACGACAAGCATTATTCACCCGGTACACTGAAGTGCGTTAACGTTGCGACATTCAAATAACGGTGGGGTCAAGGCAGTGTTTTTTCTTTTGAAAAGTATTTCAGTTCATTGCGTGGCAGTTCGAGGTAAATTTAAAAGAGTTTAAGGATACAGGTCGTAAATGTGTGCGACGTTGGTTAAAAACCACGAAGTTGGTGTCGACAGACTGTAGATGGAATTCATAACGATATAGCAATGAACGAATATATAAGCGAGTTGCGGGCCCTTATGACCATGACCGCCCGTTCCCTTTCAGGAAATGTTATTTTCTGCTAAAAATCTTTGCACCAAGCATTCTGTGAGATGCCACGTGGAATAATAACTTTGACCACCAGGGGGCCATCACAAAACTTTCCAGACACATTTTCGCTAAATGTAGCCTCTCGCATTAATTCCATTCCGCAAAACTGTCACGACTGGTAGTGTTATAAGGGATTGTGTTTCTGTATATATGAACTAAACGCTTTTTGAAATCAACAATTCTCGGTTAAACCTTCATGTCATGTAACGAACATATTCATCACAATATCCAACTGGCAGTGACACGCTCCACTGTAATACGACCTTCATCGAATATACTTCATGAGCGTTGCCATGGTATTTAATGAGTCTATCTCCAGCTGGGACATCGCCTGTTGTATAGTTTAGTACAACAGACTTCTGCTCTTGTCTGTACGTACTGGAGCAGTTGTACGAGACCACAATGTGTACAGTCAACAAATCACGTGTATCTTTGAACACGTGTGGTGAACTTCATGAGCGTTGCCATGGTATTAAATGAGTCTATCTCCGACTGGGACATCACCTGTTGTATAGTTTAGTACAACAGACTTTTGCTCTTGTCTGTACGTACTGGAGCAGTTGTACGAGACCACATGGTGTACGGTCAACAAATCACGTGTATCCTTTAACACGTGTGTTGAACGTTCATGCATATCATCTGTAGCACATGCCACAACGACACGTGCAATGTGTTCTCATTATGAGAATCAAAGCCACTATTCATGTGGCACTATCACTATCAAAGCCACTATTCATGTAAGTAAACAGCGAGAGAGCAAAACCACCGGTTTCAGGTCTTCCGTACTAATAACATCATT